TCGTCAAAATTTTTTGAGAGTGATAAGATAATAAGATAAAGATATTAAATGAGAAATTGTCTGCTGTTATACATTTTAAACCATAACTGGTCATATCGATAGCATGTTAACCTTTTAAAAAAAAAGAACACTTATTAACTGTTTAGGCAGCTGTTGATAGCATTTAGGCTGATGTCAAACTAAATCAAAACAAAAGCATAACAACTAAATCAATTAAAATAAGGTCTCACATGCAACCACAATTTTAGCTTCCATAAAAAAAAACTAGTATTGCATATCCAAAAACAAATGCAACACTACTGTCAGCCTATACAAACATAGGCGTTAGCATATCTTTTTTTTCTCTAAAGTTTATGTTTGATCACAATATAAACTTCAATACAAATATCAAAATATTAATTTAATTGCAGCTAATTTACAAGCATAAGCAAAATCCAATATATTAATTTTTTAAGGCCATCTTATCGGAAAAATATTTTTTCCAAAAACACTCATCTTTTAATCATATTTTTGAAGAATATACGAACCAATCCAATTTGGTCTTCAATTTCAACGTACAAAGGCACTACTTGCTCTAAAATCTTCCAATTTAGAATAATAGATATTTACGTTGAAATCAACGAAGTGAACTTATTCAAGCAGTATTGTTATATTTAAATCGGTTATGGTCAAGTTAAAGGAACCTAACGCAGCTGGAAGTTCCAAGCCAGAGTGTATATATATATATATATATATATATATATATATATATATATATATATATATATATATATATATATATATATATATATATATATATATATATATATATATATATATATATATGATTAAATGATAAAATGATACGATAGCTTTAAATGAAAAAAATTTTTTGTGAAATGATATTGTTTAACTTTTGTTAATGTTTTTTAAAACTTAAATCCCAGTAACTTTATTTTTTCAAGACAGGTGTGTTTTTTGAAGAAACATGCGTTCCAGCAGTTAGGGATCTTAGGAGTTATCTTTTTCGAGAAAAAGCATAAGTGCTTTTTTTTTAGAATAGTTTAGTATTTTTTTTTTCGAAAAAAAAAAAAAAAGATTGAAAAATTCCCAAAAATGTTTAGAAACATAAATTAAAAAATTAAGAAAAAAATTTGATGAAATATATATTTCAAAAATTCCTTTTCGTTTAGGATTTACAGCGACTTAAACTTTGTTCAATAATGACTGAAAAATGGGAACGAGGGAAAGTGCTGTAAATGTTTCCCATTACTATAACCCTTATAAAGTGTTTGTAAACAGTGAGCATGATCAAACTTTTTTTTTGTATTTAATTTTTTCACATAGTAGGTCTAAAAAGTGTTACTTATCTCAACTCTAATCTGTTAAAATTAAAATGGTTGAACAGGGTTTTTTGAAAAATTTTCCTATTTTCCTTTTTGTGATTTTTTTTTTGTAGCAACAACAAACTCGTTTTTAATCTAATTTATCATTTAGGCAACTTAAGAGGAAGGTTTTCTTTTTTTTTATGGAATATTATGTAGTTTGTTTTCTCAGAGTTAAGCGAGAGTTTGTTAGCCCTAAACCAATTATTTACTTTATTTAGTTCAGTATTCAATTCTGCATATAATTTCCTAATAGTATTGTTAGTAAGTAATTGATTTGTATTATCAGCAAGCATGACTGACCTCAGTTTTAAATACGCATTGCAAAATCATTTCTTTAAATTAAAAACAAGAGTGGACCTAGGATAGATCTTTGGGAACTATTGATAAACGTCACAGCGTGAACAGACATATTTGTGGAGATATAAACCAGGTAAATGGGCTGTTTATAATAAATTTAAAACTTACTAGAAAAGTATTAGACAAATTTATACTTGCATCTTTATAAAAATAGTTTTTACCTAGTAACCTTCAGAACACGCCCATACTGTATCAATGTCAAATCGCGCCCATACTATATTGCCGTCATATATACAACTTTTTAAAGTTTTTAAAAACTTTTTAAAGACGCAAGTTGTTTCACTAAATACATAGCACTTAAATAAGGTCGCATTTCTACTTTCCTATTATTGTTTTGAATTAATTGTACTGGAAATATTTCAGGGTTAGGTTTAGGGTTTTTTACAAAAGCACCAGCTTTTGCTGGTGCTTTTGTAAATAACTTATAAACTTTGTTATTGTTTATAATATTTTCCATAGACATAAAATAGGCATTAAAATTTTTAACAGCTTCATGAAAAGTTATAAATTTTCTCTAGATTATTTATGCGTTGCTATTTATTTAACGGTCCCACCAATAGCATCTATCGGTCCTTTCCTAGGTAAAGGAGCAAAAAACTTCAAGAATAATTTTAAATCATGCTGTTTTTCCAACCAAGATATTACTGATGCAATAAAACAATTTTTTAATTGATTACTTGCTCAGTCTGTCCGAACCTGTAGTATTTTAACACTTGATTCAATATGGTTAGTTAACAAATTATGAACAAATACAAAAATAGGTTCTTGTGAATAGCTTAAATCATCTGAATCTTGGACAGCTGATGAGCATGAATTTTGGTGCCAAACTACATCAGTAAATGCAGTAACTTCTTGTGCCAATGTGCTGATTGCACTTCATCGTGCTACAAAGTTAAAAAATTTTCACCAAAATCCGCTTGAAGAACAGCCGTATCTGGATTACTTTGAAGGTGGATCTAATGATTACGATATGTCTTCGATTGTTTCTGTTTAATAAAATAATGCTAAACAAATGAAGGTGAAAATTTTTAAAAGGTTTTGTGAAGATCATCAACTTGTGTCTTTTTTTTTAACTTTTAAGATATATTCTTTCCCATTACCTTTTAAAATTTATCCTGTTGGCACCATGTATTTATTCTTGTCAATTTCATTCAAAATATATAGATTATGAAACTTTGCAGCATCTTTGCATGTCGTACATATACTATTATAACAAATATCTTTTTCACTATCACATACAACGATAAGAGAAAATTAATGTGAATACAATCGAAAATTTGAATCAGACTTGTGTAGGGCTTCAAGGATAAGAATTATATTTTGATGTCCTTGATAACAACAAATATTTCTTGACATTGAACTAGACAAAAGCACATGTGGCGGGCGTAAATTAGCAAACTTTGATTTTTCAACTAATTCTTCAGAATAGTCACCTTAAAAAACAGCATAAGCTTCATTAGATGATAGGTCGTGAAAAAATAAATTCATTAATTGATAATAATATTAATTGAATTAATTACAATTACAATTAATTACATTCAATTAATTAATTAATTATATTTGTTTATAACTAACTAATTACTTAATTATAATTACTTAAATTACAATTTAATTAATGTAATACAATTACATAAATTAATGTAATACAATTACATATTAATTACAATTAATTAATTAACTAATTACATACAATTAATTAAGTACATAGATTAATTAAATACAATTACAATTATTTTCATTAATTGAAAAAATAAATTCATTAATTGATATGTCGCGAATAAATAAAAATGACAGACGTGTTTGAAAAGTTGAATTATTGATTTAATAATCTTTGAATAATTAGAGAAGTATCAGTAACTTTTTTTGTAAATAAATATATGCTATCAGTAGAAAGAACTACTAATCTAAAGTTATAATTAATATCATGGTTAACTTGTTTTATCATGGTTAACTTGAAAATGATAGGTAAAATATTTTTAAAATAGACAAAAAAATTATCAACTTTTAAAAGACAAAGTAGTTGCGAATTTAAATTATTAACATAGTTCTTATAGCTTGGAAGCTTAATCCAATCATTCAGCTGATTGGATTAAGCTTGGAAGCTTAATCCAATCAGTTGAAACTCTATTTCATTAAAACTCGAAATTCATAACTTTAAAACATGAATTTCTCAACTTTAAAACTTGGAATTCAATCATTTTAAAGTTGGAAACTAGAGAAAATTACTTGGGTCATTGATGCAATTTATTGAACGAAAAGATTGAATCAGATAAGCAGAAAAGAAGCAAGAACAAGTAGAGTAGCTAAAATATCTAGAAGGTTTTTTTTTACTTGCTATCTCAGAGTATTTATTTGATATTTAAAATCTCTGATTTGTTTTTTTGGAAGTGTTTGCTTGTTTACTGATTTCTTATTTTATTTTATTTTTTAAATATTTTTCTTTCTAATTTTCAAGTTACTTAGTACTTTTTGTTCTGGATTATTATAAGTGTATTTATATAAAGTATGCTTTACTAATTGTACCTTTATATTCATTTATCATTACTACTTCCATGATGTTTTGGTATGTATATTGGCATGATATTGTTGTTGATGTACTCGAATTACTTATTTTTCTTTTTTAAAGTACTGTTTATTGACTTTTTTAATTATAGTTATTGCTATATACTATTTGATATTTTTTATCATAATTTTTGTTGTATACTTAGTTGCTAATGTTTTTTGTTATATATTATAGCCACTGCATCATAATCTCTCATCTGTTTTTTTGCTATTTTACATTAATGTTTACAAGCTTTATTTCTTCGAACAAACTCCTATCTTTTTTTTTTTTTTTTCTTTTAAAATTTTATTAAATATAACCAAATTGTTTTACACTCCTACTACCTTATTATGCCAGTGGCATAATAAGGTAGGCCCGCCGTGCGCCAGGCCCGCCCTGAGCTTTTGCGGCGCCCACGGTCAAAATTTCCCAAGCGCCCTGCTGAAAGTGAAAGCTGATCTAATGATCCATAATTCAATACATATAATAAGCCATTTGATAACAAATCAAAGAGGATAAAAGAATATAGAATTTTTAATTTTAAATAATGAACATTTGAACAGTTTATTTCTAGATAATTGCAATGGTCTTTTGACTTGGTTATACACTCATACATAAAATGATAAAGTCAACACTAGAACATGGTAGAAACAGACCAAAGACAATCATTAAACACTATTGGATGTTAAGAGCAAAAATTTGTCTAGAATACAACAGCTATTGTTGTTTCAACTTCAGAGGAAATTGATCTTTCGAGCTTTACTCATGGCAAATTTGGAAATCACTTCACCGTAGCACAACTTTTTGGCAAGATCATGTTCAATGGAAATAACCAGAAGATTCGTGAGTCGTTCTTGGCTCATTGTAGACCTTAAAGCTGTCTTAACTAGAGCAAGCTTACTAAAAGATCTCTCGCCTTCCGCAACAGAAACAGGGATGATGTTGAAGATGCGCAGCAAAATGCAGACTGATTCGAAGAGCGGCTGAAGACCTTTCTGGTATATTCCATTCAATAACGTCATGGAAGTGAGAGATTCTTTTGGACCAAAAAGATTGGATCGCTTCAGAGCATCGAGGTGGCGGACCTCTTCAATAAGTTTCTCTTCCTCAACATCGGCCGCGTAGATTTGTGCCAAGACCTTGCATTTCTCCTCCAATTGGATAAGTGCTTCAACACTTTCTTCTGATTTTTCTTCATTTGACATAACAAGAGATTTCAATGACCACAAGAACAAAAACATATTCGTCGTCTTCTCAGCAGCTTGGAATCAATTGCTGACCTGCTGAATAAGAGTATCAAGAGCGGTATTGAATACGCTCACCTCAAACTCTTTTGCTTCGTCTTCATGGAAATGAGCGGTGTTCCTCACCTCTTCGTGAAAGGTCTTCCTTTTTTTCGTCCTCTTCTTCACAAATTCTGATTGAAAACCAAAAGAAGCAAGACCAGATGCTATCAAACGTGCCTCATTAAGGATGCTGGTCCAAAATGATCTCAGTCGATTTAGATCTTCAATAAGAGTCTTAATGAGTTTCATCTCGTTGTCCAAGGAGATATTTTGTGATTGGAGTGCAAGGCTCACGTAGTTGATTGATTGAAGAGTTTTATACCAAAAGGTTGTCATTACGATGAACTCGAATGAATGAACCCACTTCTCCAGAGATTTTACTTTATTCAATTGATCAGCTGTTAGATCAAAATCGCGGAGCTTTTTCAAAGAATCGAGAATTTCCCTGGGTCGCTTGACTAACGGCTTCACGGCCTGGATTTGCGCACTCCATCTGGTTTGCAACGTTTGATGAAGGGACAAACCAGTGGTTTCTATCAACACTTTCCACCGACTAGGGCTTTCACTGAAAAGATTGTAAAGTGACTGGACTCCGCCAAAGTAGTTTTTGACTTCAACCAAAGATTCAGCAGAATGAATACCAGCAAGGTTGAGACTATGAGCGCTGCATATAGAGAGCTTGAGGATTTTTTTGCAGTATAATCGCCTGTACTCCTTTGTATATACCAGACATGTTCGCTCCATTGTCATATCCTTGACCTCTCCAGTTTTTGAGATCAATTCCATTTTGTTCTAAGACGTCCATAATAAGCTTGGCAATGTCAGCACCTATCTTTTTTTCAAGATTCTCGACCCTCAGAAAGCGCTCCTTCACGGTCTATCTTTTGTCAGTACCAAAGTATACAAAGCTGAGAACAAAGGTGATTTGCTCGATGTGAGAGACGTCCGGAGTTCCGTTCACAAGAATGGAATAGTAGATGGCCTTATGAGCTTCGTTGATGATGGCACCGTGAACAATTCCTCCGCACTCTTTGATGAATTCATTTTGAGTGCTCCAGCCCAAGTAATGGGTATTCATTTTGTTACCTTCTTGTTGGCAGCGGGAAACTTCTTCTAAGTGTAGTTGGAGAGTCTTGTTGTGCTTGGCCAAGAGCTCTAGGGTAGCTAGAAAGTTGCCATTGTTGTCATCTCCAATCATTTTTGATGAACCTAAAAATTATAATAATAAAACAGATTTATTTAAAACAATAAAGAAGCATTTGTTTTATTTTATGATGATTCTATGATAATTTTATATTATAATTTTTGAATATTATAACATATTTATTTAAAAGAATAAAGAAAGATTTGTTTTATTTAATGATTTCCAAAATATCTAGTTAATCTAATAAATATAAGCTAAATAGATTTAAAGATAGTCGATATCACAATAGAATAATGGTAAATAGGTTTACCTCTGAAACTAAGGTTTCGTGACGCTAAAAAAAGAGTAACATCTAAGATGCATCGTAGAATTTCACGCCACCTGGCTGCTTCATTTCTTATCGAGTTTTCAAGAGCTGCATCTATTCCGCTTTGATTTTCTAAGCTTTCTAGCGTCGTTTTCCATTCTATGTAAAAGTTTCGATGCTGGGCGTTATTCTGGTGACTTTTGACTTTCTCAGATAGCTTGTGCCAGTTGCAGCTTATTCCATCATTCCATCTTAGAAGGTGCGACTGGTGTCCGATCCCAAAAGATTGTTTGCTTCCAAACAGAGAACACGGAAAGCAAATAAATGATTTCTTAGATACACTCCAGACCAGCCAATCTCGGCATGTCTTTTCCCCGTTGAGAGAAGTTTCGTAAAAAATTGATTCAGGAACCTTCTTCTTATTAGAATATTTCGGGAAAGCTGAAGGATTTTGAGGAAGCCCCTGTAGAGGCACAGAATCTTATTCCACTTTGGAAAGATGTGCTGCCCACTTAGCAGGATCATTGGAAGGAATGGTAGCGATGGGCTCTTCTGTTGGCAACACCTGAGAATAAATTTTAAAAAATCTTATTTTATTAGCTTAAAAGTTTATTAACATCATTTCTTTTAAAGAGGTAGAACTTACCAAAATATTCTCTTCATTCACAGCTACCATTCCGATTTTTGATCGGGGCTCTCCCGAGCTTTCAGAAATGTCAGTTACATCGTTTTCAGTTCCAACCTATAAAAATAAGTTAAAAACTTATATAACATTGAATTAATCAAATGGGAAAATATCCTTTCACGGGGAAAACTATTTACTACTTGAATCGATTGACTCGGCAGGGAAGAGTTTGAAGCAGTAGGACTTTCATCTTCTCCTTTTTTTGTAACTGTAATACCACAGTCTCGAAGAGTGCGTTTGTTCTTTTCCTCATTCGCAGTTCTTTGAGCAGCATTCTTTCTTACTTGACAACCAGAGTCTTTCTTTAAACCAATTAAACCAGACATGTTTTAATTCTTTTTGAAACAGCATCCGCTCATAAGCAAAGCACTGTTTGAATTTCTTCTTGATTGGGTCTATCAGACTATCACATCGATAAAAAACCCGTTATTTACTGTTTTATGATGCCAAAGTTATTCTAAATTCTCAAATTGTTTATACTTACATTAAGAAGTGATGATATACACGATAAATATGCAGTATCTGACTTTTTAAATGAGTTGTTTATTGTAGAACACAGCACAAACGTGTATATTTTCACGTGTTTCAAAATTGTTTCAAATTTGAGAGATTTTAAAAATTAGAGAAATAAATTTAATAAAATTGTTTTAATATTTTATATCAATATCAAACTACTTGGATTTAATCTAATCTCTTTTTTTAATAAAGTAAAAAATCTCCGTTTTTAATTGAATGAAAATCTCCGTGCACTAAAGTTATTTTAAACTTTTACTTCAACCGCTGAAGTAAATGTTTAAAATAACTTTTTATTAATTTAACAACCAGCGGGTTGTTAAATTAATCATTTATTTGCGAGTTTCCGCTATATAAAAAGAATCGCTTTATTTAAAACTAATGTTTTGAAAGTAATGCTAATTTCTTAGTTTTAAAGCATTAATTTCTTTTTTTATTTAAAAAGTCCAATTATGAAGCAGTTCATTACAAAGTTAAAAATTTAAACTAAAAAAAATTGACCGGCCAAAAAAAGCAATTGACCGTCTATTATATGTTTTAGCTGGTCAAATTGACCGGCTGCTTTTGATTTCTTATTTTCCACGCTGGTTCCCAGTAATTCATCTTTTTTTTTTTAAATAAACATGAAAAAAAAAAAAAATATATTTATATTCGGCTTCGTGCGCCCCTGTCGACCTGGCGCCCGGGACAAAACAACCCAGTAGACCCCCCTCACGGCGGCCCTGTATACCACCTATTAAGTTTGGCTCTCTTTCTGATCTTAAGCTTCATAATATTCAGTTTGGCTCTCTTTCTGACCTTAAGCCTGACCAAACATTATTGCACAAGAACTCTACTTTACTATATTCTCTTAACACTACATCAAGTCTACGAGATTCAATTTCAGATCTAAATAATACCCAAGATTCAATTAATTGTAAATACTATGACACCATCGATTTCAATAAAAAAATTAATCCCAATACAAATCTTTATTTATCCTAATTCAAATTTTTTCTGATTGCCCATATATTAGGTTCATTACTTTAATATATAAATTTTACATAAGACTTGAATCTCTAGATCAACCTTTGTATAAAAATACTTCTAAAAACCTCTAAACTTTTTTATCCACCTTTATGAAATTTAACATCATATATAAAAAAAATTTCTAATCAATTTGTTTAAAATTTTAAAAACTTTTCAATAATATATATCATTGTATACTTCAAACTATTAATGCCAACTATACGAATTTCGTATCTAAGAACAAAGCTTAATTTTGGGACCCATGGTAAAAAAACTAGACTTTTGGTAATAATTTTTTGATAATAGGTTGGATTCGTGGAATATTGACAACTTTTATCAATATTTAATTATTGTTTATAGTGAAAACAGGAAGTCTCGTTTTTACAGTGCTCAATATTACTGAATAATAGAGCTTCATATAACTATATTTTATTTAGATGAATAAAAACAGCAAATTAGCCGGACTTAAAGTTTAACGCCGGAAGGCGTTAAACTTCAAGTCATCTGCCGTTAATACAAATAAAAAACGTAAACAAAAATGTAAAAATTACTGTAGAATGACATCTGACATTATAAACAAATCTACGTAAACAAAAAAACAAATACAAAACAAACACAAAAAAAAGCCGTTATAGTTTTCTACTCCCCTGTGTTAAATAAAGATAAATGAAATTTTTTTCAATGTCGACAATTTTCGTTTTTATTTATTTAGTAGGTTTTTGCCATTATGTGATAAAATAACATATTTTTCATAGAGACAACTGTGGCATACTTGTGTTGATAGATTGTAAGGTTTACAACGTTTGACAGTTTTCCATTTCCATTTCCATTAGGCTTTATGTTTTGGTCTTTTAATCTCCATATTTCCCTAGATAGTTCTGTGTTCTTTCTATACTCAACTGATGTAAATGAATTGAGCTGGTTTGCGTATCTTAGTTTAAATGGTGTTTTACTGATGCCTAAATTTTTTTTTTTATTACAATTGTGATGACTGGAAATTACGGTTGCTTGGTAAACAATATTGTTAGATAAACATTAATTGTTCAAAGGGCTAAATGCTTTATCTACGCAGTTACATTATTTGGTTTTTAATTGATTTTTGTTTTTTAAAATTTTGAAATTATGCGAATTTATGATATATTTTAGGTTAGGCATGCGACTATAGCTGATCTTAATAGAATTTCGGTTGAATATTTTGTCTAGCTTGTGGCCGGCTGGAAAGTGGCTGGTGGGTAAGATTTGATTTGAATCCAGATTTTTTTAAAGCCTCTTCATACAGTAGAATAGCTTTTTTGAAGAATATTTATTAATTGACGTGAAAAATATTCTTTGTTCAATATTGCGAGGGATTGTTTTTATTATGCTTGGAGGTTGGATTGTTTTTATTATGCTTGGAGAGTGGTTTATTTTTATTATGCTTGGAGAGTGGATTGTTTTTATTATGCTTGGAGGGTGGATTGTTTTTATTATGCTTGGAGGGTGGTTAGAATTAGAGTGGGTGTACCTTATTTAAATATCAGGTTTTAAATATGGTTGAAACGTATTGTTACTTAGGTTTAATGTAGCATCGAGGTAGTTAACTATTTTAAAATTAGATTGAATGGTGATTTGAAAGTCGTTTCTTTTAGAAATGTGTCTTATATGCTTTTTGAATTTATTCATTTGCTGACCGTTTTTGTTCTTAAATACGGCAAGAACGTCGTAGCGATATAGGCAGAATTCTTCTTTTTTATAGTGTTGTGAAATTTGGTACAGTATGAAAATATCCATTAATTTCCAAACTTCAGCACCATCAAATGGACCCATTGTTACATCAAACAATCAGCCTCTTTTTTTAGTTCATGTTTCATTTTAGTTGAAGATAAGAGATTTTCTTGCATGTTTTATAAATGCTTTGTCTTCGGTTTTGATAACAATATAATGGTCAGCAATGTTTATAGAATTGTTGAGGGTGTTTTCATTTATGGAAGAAAAAAAATCGTTAACATCAAAAACTAGGTACTTGTATAAATAATTATTGGTGATTTTATTTAACGAGAGTACTACAATTTGCGTACTTTACCATTGATTCAAAAAACGTTTCTTTTTAAGTTCACATTTAATTTTTGTATTACTTTAGTAATTCATTCTGCCTTATTTTTGAAAGGTTCAAAAGGCGCACAGATGGATTGTTGACAAAGTTTTTTTTGTGGTCTTTTAAATTGAAAAAAACAATCAGAGGATCCGTTTATTTTAATTTTTTACATATCTCATGGTTGGTTAAAATTCGTTTTCCTTCTTTATTCCTTGTTTATAAGGTCTATTATTTTCAATTTGTTTTTTTGTAGGTAGTGGTAACAGCATTTGTTAACAGATTGTTTTAATCCTCGTTAAACAGTTTATACATATTTGATGTTTTGTCAGTTTGTGCTAGGGTTTTGTGAGATTTACGTAAAGTTTTAATATTTTTTTTCATACCATTTTGAAAAGTGTTGTGTAAGTCTCAAAACTTTATTGATTTAAGAAGATTGATTGTCTTTTTCGAAGAAAAACATTTCTTATATTTGCGGAGAATAACATTTCTTATATTTGCGGAGAATAACTTTCATACATTTGCGGAGAATAACATTTCTTATATTTGCGGAGAATAACATTTCTTATATTTGCGGAAAATAACATTTCTTATATTTGCGGAGAATAACATTTCTTATATTTGCGGCAGACATATAGGAGATTTGTTCCTGTAGTTTTTAAAATTAATATTGTCTTTAATTCTAGGATCGTTATTTATAAAAAAAAAGCGCTTACCATCTCATTTTTTTAATATTAATTCCATTTTGTTTATTAATTTTAATTATAAGTCTCTTTCTGACGGTTTTAAAATGTTTTTATTTGAATAATCCGGCTAATCAGCTGTTTTCATTCATCTTAATAAGATATAATTATATACAAATATATATATATATATATATATATATATATATATATATATATATATATATATATATATATATATATATATATATATATATGTATATATATATATATATATATATATATATATATATATATATATATATATATATAAATATATATATATATATATATATATATATATATATATATATATATATATATATATATATAAAGAGAGAGAGAGAGAGAGAGAGAGAGAGAGAGAGAGAGAGAAAGATAGATAGATAGATAGATAGATAGATAGATAGGTAAATACCACTGTGCACAGAAAAAAAAAAAGTGTATTTATGCGGTGGTGTTTTATTTAAAATATAAATGTATTTGATAATACTGGTTTTGAGTTCTTAGAGTTAGATAAAATTTAAATTATATTCAAAACAATGTAATATTCATTTTTAAAAAAAAGTAGCATGTCATAAAAGTATGGATTAATTTTTTTAAATTTGCTCTATTGGTAAGTTTCATACAAAATGGTTTCTGTTTGCAGATTGACAGCTGTCTAGTAAAAACAATGCAGTTAGTAAATATGTTGAAATTTATGATAATGAAATGTGTCTTTATAGTTAAAGTTTATTTTAAATTTAGTTAAAACTATGCAGGAGTTTTTTTGAAAAACAAAGTTTACGCTTATATTCCTCAAATTTTTAACATTTGAATTTAAACATAATGGAACATTACTCAAAATAAACATCAATTAAGTCGCCATGTACTGAAACATTTTACTAAAAGGTTAGAAGCTTTTAGAGCAAAAGGTTAACTGACACGTGCAAAGATTAACTGATATGTGCTGGTAACTGACACGTGGCATAAGAGTAAAAAGTTAACTGACACGTGCAAAATTTTGTAAAAA